GGATGCCAGGTTCTGGAGTGGCTTCTTCCGGGTTCAGATCCTGGCTCTTCAGAGGTGGCACATGTTTCTGCTTACCACTCTGAGGGCTTCCAGTTTGCCAGGGAAACACGTCTCCCTGATGGTTACAGCCCCTTAAGTCTGGGCCTCAGCCTGACACTCAGGGAGCCCAGAAGCCTGAGGACCCTGCAGCCCTGCGGTCACTCGTGAGAAGCGACTGCTTTAGGCCACTGACTTAGGGGAGGCAGCTGCTCACAGGTCCACCGACAGAAGACATTAGTGGAGAGAGGGCTTGTCTGCTCAGCATCTTTTGGGGGGGCCCACCCCTCTCCCACCCTTGCTTCACGGGGACCACAGCAGTCACCTTCTAACTAGTCTCCCTGATCCCACCTTTGCCCTACAGTTTGTTTACTATCCAACAGAAAGAGGGAGCCTTAAAAGCGGCCATTTCAGGCTGCTCCTTCGCTGACCCTCTGATGGCTTGCCACGGTGCCGAGAATAAAACCCCAGCTTCTTACCATGGGTCACAGGACCCGACATGATTTGGCCCATGGCTGACTTACTCCAAGACCTTATTTTCTTCTGCTGCTCCCCACAGTATTGCTTAAAAATCACAGCTGACCCATTAAGGAGGTGGTCTCAGGAGGGGAAGCTCATGGTGGGATTCCCCTGGTCACTTAGTAATGTGAAGGCTCTCAGTGTATGATCAGTTCTTCGTCCACCCCGCGCTAGTTTCTTCACATCCAGCCCTGGGAGGGGTGGGCCCAGGAGCCCCCAGCCCCTTGATTTCAGTCCTCTGGCAAATGCCACCAACGTCCTCGGCCTGGGGAGTCTCCAGGGTATAGGCAGTCAAGGTTGGATGGGGTACCCCACGGCACCCGTCATTACAGGGTGATGAGCTGCCTCCAGAGACGTCCCTTCCCGTTCCCCTGGGGGGCTCTGGGCAGCACTGTCTCGCCCAGGAGGCAGAGTCCTGGACGGGGCTCAGGGCCCGCAACACTGTCCATGTCCCTTCTTCCCAGCTCACAGCGAGCTGCTCCTGGTTCTAGCCAGTCGTTATGATGTGTTCACTTATTGATCGTGATCTTTAGAATAACATCAAGACAATGGGTTTTAAGCCCCTGCCCACTGCTGGACAGTGGCCACCAGCCTTGTCCGGCCATGCGGACCAGTGGAACCTCCCTGCTCCTGTTCATCAGCCTTCCACACTCGTCTCCTTTGGAGACTGTCGGCTCCAGTGTTACAATCACAGCAGTATTAGAATAACAACTTAAAACCAATCATTTTTATGGGGACACACACAGTGTAAAAGGACCTGCCGATCTGAGGACACATATAACATCAACAGCTATTGCCCCATAAAGCTGTCAGTTGGAGAAACATCTCGGCGACTCTGGGAACACCATCGCCCAAGTTTAACCAGAGAGCAGGAGAGAGAGGACTTTGCAAATCATTTTTCATGGAGGCTTGGAAAAAAATGTGAGACATTGATCCCAAATCAGAGCCAGTGGGTTGAGCTGAATGGCTCAGGCCTGGCCCCGAGTGGTCCCTGGCATAGGCCTCCTGAAATTATGGGGGTCTCAGGAAGGGGCCTGGGCACCGGAGTACCCAGCATGTGTGGCCTGGCTTGCTGCCTTGGCTCCATTTCCCTGATTAGACCATTTGCTGAAGCTTTGTGAGCAAGATTTTTATCAGGAAGCATTCCCAGGGAACATCAGTAGGGGAGTGAGGAAGTGAGATGGAAGGAAGAAGGCCGGGCAAGGTTGACCCCATGCAGTGAGCCCCGGGCTCCGTTTCACAGGGGACCCCTGGGGACAGTGTAGGTGACACCTGCTCACTGGGCCAGGTTGGGGAAGGCAGATGGAGTGTTTATTCCCTGAAATTTACTCAGCAGTTAAGGGCTTCCAAGGGGCAGGGGCTGTATAACCCCCAGCCACTGTTGGCTCTGCACCCACACGGGCAGAGTGGGGGAGCCCCCCAGTAGAGGTGCAGTTGCTGGCTGTGGGGTGAAAGCACTCTGGGAGCTGGCATGCGTGAAGACGGTAACGGGGATGGGAGGGGGACACGTGGAGGATGCCAGCACCTGCCACGTGTCCCTGGGAAGTGCTTGCGTCTAGTGTCAATGGCTGGTCTGTGTGCTTTAACTCCATGTGGGGTCAGGAGGAGGTCGTCAGAGCTGCGACTTCCTGGGCTGGTGGACCCTTGACTAGTTGCTGGGTAGGACTTCCTCACCTCCAGAGAGCCGGCGTTCCTGGCCCTCTGAGCCTCCTGGGCGAGTGTTGGACACATTAAGATGGAGTTCACCCACTGGCACTTGCACGAGGACCAGCTAGCTCTCAGGAGGCAAATGCAGCAGGCAAGTGTCGGGATCAAGTCAGGAACACTCGACCGGATGGGTGCCGGGACCAAGGACAGGTGGCTTGGTTTCCAGCAGCTCTACTGGAAAGCAAGCCACCGACATAACTAAAACCTTGACTTGTAAGATGGGGTGGGAGTGGGAGCAGCTTTGCTAGCCCACGGCGGCATGGTGTGTCAAAGGCTGCTTTCGTATAGAAAGTGTTCAGCTAAGTGCCAGAACACAGGATTGGGTGAGGGCCGCGACCTCACTCACCCCGTGTGGCGGGTTTCATGGTGCAGTGCACACCTTGTACAACTGTACATGACAGCCCTGAGCTTTTAACTGACTGGCGGCTCAGAGCTACTAGCAAGGATATGCTGAGTGGGCACTTCATCAGGGTGGAGGCCAGGCCCCGGCACTAAATACAGCGTTTGCTGCAAAGCAGGCATTCAAAAAATACTTGTTGAAGATGTGAATGGAGGAATTTAAATGCCTTATAGATTGCTTGTACATGTTTGCCAAGTGCCACAAGTCTCGTGTGAGCTGTGGCACCTCACGGACAGGCAGCTCAGCATCCAGGCCTGAGCAGGCTGCCTGGATGCAGGTCCCAGTCTTCACGGGTTAGCTGTGCTTTGGGAGAGTTCTTTCCTCTCTCTGTGCCTGTTTCACTATTGGTACAATGGGGCCAGCCAGCGGGCCTGCTATCAGAGGGCTGTTCCAGGATCCCAGGAGTCCACACGTGAAATGCTCAGCACAGTGCTTGGCACACAGTCCTTACCATGGCCATCCGTGGCGGTGACAGCCCCTGATGGCAGTGCTGGCCAGCCCTCCCTGGGGACCTGTGTTGCCCTTGGGGTGTCACATTATGAAAGAGAATGACAGCTGCCTTGTCTATGAGAACCCCACAGGAACATCTCAATAAACAATTGTTGAATGAATGAAGTCCCACAGAAATCCCAGAAAATTTGTACAGAGAGGGGTGATTTATTTAGTGTCAATAAGATAATTTTCAGTGAGCTCGTCATCTGTTCTCTTTTCAGCCTGTTCGTTGTGGCATAAACCGTACGCCTTGAGTGGTTCACTAATCAAAGAAGCTCCTGTTCACTCCCAGTAGCCTCTCAGTGGTTGGCGGGGAGAGACCCACAGCTCCAGGGAGGAGCTCTGATTGCATTTGCCCCATTTGCAAAACCCATTCCTCCAGCAATTGGTTCACGGGTGGGCATGTGACTTATTTTGGGCCAATGAGATGAGAGAGAATGTTGGCTGGAGGTTTCTGGGAGGAGCTACCTGGAGACCCATGCCTGCCCCCCAACCCCACCCCTTCTGGGAGGAAGCCCCTGGGAACATCCCCCCAGCCACCTTGTCTCCACTGGGGGTCCAGCCTTGGCCTGGAGCAGCCTCCGTGGGAGGCAGGGAGGACGGTGGACTGACTATCGTGGGTGACATTGTTGGGATCCTGTCACCCACCTCTGAAGCTGCTGTCCCTCTGGCCCTGTCAGTCATAAACCAAGGAAGTCTGTTAGTGTTTTAGGCACACTGAGTTGGTTTTCTGTTACCTGCTGGACAATGCTTAGCTGACATGCGAGCTCTTTATTTACTCTTTTGCCAGCCTGATCCTTATGGCATGAACTCTATACCTCAAATTCATCAGGACTTAGTGTTTCGAAGCTGTAAAGCCCGTTTCTGGCAACTCATTTCTTCCTTTGGTCCCTTGAGTCAATAGTGTATGACTAGATAGCAGGGCTGGGGTAGGGAAGGGAGAAAAAGGGTCCCAGGAAATTCAGGGAAGAAACATGGGTTAAGATCTCAAAATACTGGCCGCCACATGGTGTGTGTGCCAAGCATGGCACTGAGACTTTGCTGCACTGTTTGATTTAATTTCCCAGCCTTCCGACAGGTGCTGTGATCATCCCCGTTCACAGGTGAGGGAACTGAGACCCCGACGGGTTGCCGCCCGCTCACAGTCTGGCCGGTGGCCTTGTTTTGTGATGCACCAGTTGGCTCTGGAGCTGGTGGCACCCGGTTGGTCCCAGCCAGGGACCAGCACCAGCTAAGAAACACTCAGGTCCTGGAGGTCCACGCAGGGTCGCACACAGAGTGATTTTACAGACGATTAAACCTGCAAAGATTGGCCAGTGTGTGTACTTAGAGCTGTGTGCAGGGGTAACTGCCAGGTTTCATCTACTGAAGGGATTTCAAACAAAGGGCTAGTTGAGCGGGCTGAACACTAAGCAGGCCACCTAGGGCAGGGAGCAAGGGGGCTGGCGCCAGGCGGTGGCATGGACAGGGGACAAGGCTGGCGTGGCCCACTCTGTGGACCTCTCTCAGGAGCCTGTGTGGTGAAGCAGCCTGGGCTCTGCAGTCAGGCTGACCTGGGCTGACCAGTGCCTGCCCGGTTGGGAGGCTTGGCTGCCTGAGCTGGCTTGGTGGCTCACGCGCCTCCAGTCAGCCGGTGGGCCATGGGGGCTGAGTGACCTGGGCTGGCCTCTGTGAGCCTGATGCGTCCTCTGGGCAGAGCAGACGGGCACGACATTCCGCTGCATCCGCCTGGTCAAGGCAAGTCTGGTGCTCCGTCCGCAAGATGGTGGGAGGACAGGGCCCAGGGGCACAGCTGAAGGGAGGCGAGGAGGACCTGGGGTGTGGCAGCAGCCGAGCCACCACGCACCCTGCTGGACGCGCCAGCCACGGCCCTCCAGCGTGCCCTCTGATTTGCTGCCACCATGCAGGCAGCCAGGGAACCCCACCGAAGCTCTCAGAAGGCCGCTGCCACCGTTCATGGTCCCTAGCCTGAGCTGTGCCCTAAAAACCCTAATCAGCTCGTCACTCTCCCATTCCTCATCAGAGGTGTCACCTCCCTGTCAACCCCTACCCCACTGTTTCCTCCCTGCCTCCTAGGGAATGACCTCACCGCCTGCTCATCAGAGGTAGCAGAAGTTACCAGGAGAAAACGTCATCCAACGTCCTGCCTCCTTTCGTTCGTTTGTACTTATTTATGTTTCTAATTGAGCACCTACTGTGTTCGAGGTGCTGCCCAGTGATGAATGGAGCACAGTCCTTGGCCCCGTGGAGCTGGCGTCTGGATGGAGGGGGCATAATAAATCCGGTGCTGGAAAGACTGGGGGACAGAGAAGTGCGTAGGTGTGTCTGGTTGGTGCGTGTGTGCCCGCTCTTGGGAAGGCTGTGTCAGGGTCTGTGACCGCCAAGGTGACACAAGGCCAGTCTTGAGAAGAGCTGGGATGGTGTAAGGGAGGTGACTGGGGCCCAGCCAGTGAGGGACAGTGCGGGACAAGAGACCCCGGGGGTGGGGTGGGTCCAGCTGGGCCCCGAAGGCCATGGGAGGACTTGGGCCTTTGTCCACGCACAGTGGGAAGCCGTGAGGGTTTGAGCAGGAAAGTCACATGTCTGCTCCACACTGTCAGAAGGCCACTCCGTCTGAGTGTCGGTCTCTTCTGTGTGCAGTGTGGCGTGCCTGCGCTGTGCCCGTTCTCACCGTCTCGTCCTGTCAGGGTAGCTGAGGTGAGCCCCCAGTGGGCTTGGCACCGTCCCCTCCTGCGTGCCCAGGAGCAGTTGTTGGTGTGCAGCCCCTGCTCTCCACAGGCTCCTCCCACTGTAAAAAGATAACATGCCTACATGTTATTTTTTTACCATTAAATACCGTGTGTTTCTAGGCAGATGCATTATCCCTGGGGCAGCTTCGGTGGGTCCATGTCCTGGCCCCATTCCCTCCATCCGTGCCCTTTGCCAGGTGCCTTTGAAGCTCCTTGCAGAGATGGAGGCTGTGTCTTTGCCCTTTGACCTTGGGACTTGCTTTTGGCGGTGACAGCGTGCCCGTCTGAGTGTAGGTCTCAGGAGTAACTGCATGTCCGCCTGTTCCTTGTTCTCTTCGGCTGTACCGGGAAATGGAGACAGAGCTGGGCGCACAGGCAGCCGGCCACCCAGGTGCAGCTTGTAGCCTGCAGCAAGCCCGGCCGGTTGGTTGATACGGGGACGTGCGCCAAAGGCTCAGAAGCGTGAGTCTGCATCACACCGCTGTAGTCAGCACCCATTTTCCCTCCAGCGGACTCCCCAGGTTGCTGGTTCCCACGGAAGGCTGCAGACACGTCACTCGATGTGTCTGTGGTCCCACCACACGCTCCTGGTTCCTTTCCTTTCTTCACAGTGTGTACCTTGCACGTCATTCACACCAACACACCCAGGCCTCCACTGGGTGCACGCACCACAGCTGGTGTAGCCAGTCCCCAGCTGACCGACATTTGGGTTGGCCCATCTTGTACAATTTCACAGGAGGCTGCAGTCATCACTTGTCACACGTGGCACAAGTCCCCAGGGCACAGCTGCTTGTCATGGGAGCACAAACTCACCTGGGGATCTTGTGTAACCTGCAGATTCTGGCTGGGCAGGTCGGAGTGGGGCCTTCAGTGAGTGCCATGTGCCGGCGTTGTCTGGAGAAGGTGGTGCTGTGAGTGAGGAGGGCTGGCTGTTTCTGGGTGTGGCTGTCGGCCAGTTTTGGTCTCCGGGATGAGTAGGTCAGTGCCTGGCGCCTCCCCTTGGAGTCAAGGATGTCAGCCCGAGGGCCGTCCACTTTGCCCTGAGCAGAACCAGGCACCGTAAGCAGACCGCAAAGCCGTGTTTGGGGCTTCGATCTCCCTGTGGCTGTCAGTAGCCAGGCCAGAGTAAGGTCGACCCTGACCTCCCGGACGTTTGGAAGAGAGCTTTTCAGGCAGAGGGAACAGTAAGTGCAAAGGCCCTGAGGGGGACATGCGTGTTCTATTTAAGGAATGAACAGGACAAGAGGGAGTGTGCAGAGATGGGACGAGGTGGGACTGTCATGTAAGAGCGACCCACTCGTCCCAGCCTGCCCACTGCAGTGAGCCCACGCCCAACTCAACCCATCTGCTCTGTGGCAGTCCTTCGGACATGGGGGGACTGGGGCCTCCCCTCCCCTTCTTCAGGCCAGAGGCTGAGATTTTGTATTAATTGCTCAGAGCACATCAGTGTGCCAATGCCAGCCCACCCTGGGTTGTGCAGTCTGTGAATGTGGAGAGGAACACAGCTGCTGTCTGTCTCCTTTCTGCTGTGCCACAGAAGCATTCATCTATTGTCTGCCTGTCTAGTGGCCTCATGTCCTCCGCTCCTTGAACCAGACCCCCAATTCCAGCAACACTGACCTTGAACACTCTCAAGTCCTTTGCACTCGCTGTTTCCTCTGCCTGAAAAGCTCTTTCTGCAGATATTTCCGTGAGCCTCCCACCCACCTGCTCAGTCAGGCCACCCTATTGACGGAACTTCTCTGACCCCTCCCCCTGCTAATAGACTCCACACACTTTCGCCATTTGTTATAAACCGAATGTTTGTGTCTTCCCCAAATTTGTGTTGAAACCCTAACCTCCAGTGTGATGGTGTTAGGAGGTGAGGCTCTGGGAGGTGGTGAGGTCACAGAGGGTGTGCACGGTGGCTTAACGCTCTTGTAGGAAGAGGAGGGGACCCGACATCACTCTCTCGTGGCCAGGTGGGGACACAATGAGAAGGTGGCCATTTGAAAACCAGGCAGAGGGCTCTCACCAGACCCCAGAGCTGCCAGCACCTTGATATTGGACTTCCAGCCTCCAGAACCTTGAGAAACAAATGCTGCTTAAGCCCCTCAGTGTGTGGTGTTCTGTCACAGCAGCCAGGATGTACCCAGCACTTCCTAGTTTGCTGACAGTCTGTGTGCCCTCGCTGGGGTCAGGAGGGCCGGGCGCCAGCGAACCCTGATGGGCATTGCTGAGCGGATGTGGACTCCATACCCGGCACCTGTTGGCTGCTGGGGACGTGAGCGAGAGACCCAGTGCCTGCCCTCGGAAACTGGGCTGAGTGGAGGTGGCACATGAAACAGCTCATCACACAAATAACTGACAGGGTGCTATGAGAGCATCAAAAAGGGGCACCCTACCGATTCTGGGGGTCAGTAGAGCCTGTTCTGGAAAAACAAGGAATAGGAAGTAGGCTGGTGTATTGATAAGCTTATTAATACAAGTTATTGTATGTATTCGATTACAAAGTTACGAGTGAGTGACCCAGCCTCTCTTGAGCAGCAATGTAAGTGGGGCTCAGCCTCGGGCCCCCCACTGCCCTGATCCCTCCTCGGGGCCCCTGGCCAGAGCCCGGGTGCCCACTTTGACATTTCTGACTACAGAGAAAGTCACTGCACTGCTCTCTGCCTTGTTTTCTCCTCTGAAAAAATGGTAAGGAACAGTGCTGATCTCCCAGTTGGATGAGTTATAATTTTTTTCATTTTCTGTGTGGGGGATCGAGGCTCAGAGGGGATAAATAACTTCCCGAGATCCCAGGCACAGGAGACCGTCCTCGCCTGCCTGCCCCATAAACTCCCAGTTGCCCAGTTGGCGCCTGTTCCACAGACTCTCCTCACCCCTCGTCTATTGCTCTACCGTGTGTAACAACGCAGCCACAATTCACTTTTCTGCTGCTTCAGCCAGTCACCTTGCGGTACTTGTGATTTCTGAGAGCAAAATGCGACCTGGATTTCTGTCTCCTGCCTGAGCCCGAGGGGCAGTGCCGCGGCCTTCTGCTCGCTGGCTGGCTTCTCTCTCAGGCCCATGCAGCCTGGTACTCAGCAAAATGGGTTTGTGATTTAGCGGCAGAGAAGGTTAGCTCTAAATAATGATCAGAAAGTTAAAATATAGAGGCAGAGTGTTGCTTTAGTTTTTATAGGTTTTAAATAATTTCGCCTCCTCTCCTGAAGGATTTAGCATAACTCAGTGAGAAAATTGCATTCAGACCCTGCGGCTGCTGTGACGTGACTGAACTGCAATGAGCAGGAGACGCCCAGTGTCTTCTGGCAGTAAACCTAGCAGCCAGCGATCAGGGAGGCGTGCCCCTGGGGTGTGTCCTGGCTTTTCCAGGCCCCTGGGTCTCATCCTGGCGGCAGGCCGGCTGGCATAGCTGGCAAGACAGCGGTGAGCAAGGAAGACACAGAGGCCGCACGCCTGTGGGAGGGCACACTGGACCAGGGCAGCCGGAGCAGCCTGATCTCATCCCACCCTGCCATGCTTCGGTGGCACTGCCACTGCCCCAGGCGCGTTAGACCCCACCCTCGCCACATACACGGGATGTGAGTTAGGACTGCATCTAGCTGCAGTGCGCAGAAGACCTCACTAGCACGGGCTGAAGGAATTTAGGGCTTATGTAGCGGTTTGTTGATTTTTGCAAGGAGAAAAACGTGTGTCTCTCCTGGGCTGCTGCACAGCTCAGACCTGCCACCAGGGCCCTGGGCTCGGCGGTCACCTGTACACAGTGTCACTGTGCGGTGTCTGAGCTATGGGCGGGGGTGAGGATTGACTTGCGTTTGTATATGCGAAGCCCTTGCTATGTAGTAGGTGCTGTCTTAGTGCTTTATCGATCCAGAAGCTTGTTGGGTGAGGATGTTCCAGTGGCAAGTGGAAAAAGATCAAGCAGCGACTTGGAGCAGCGACTTGTAAGGCTGTCTCCTGGGGCCTTGGAAGACCCCGAGCTGCTTGTGGTCATCAGGGGCCAGCTCTCTTCTGGGGCCGGGGGTGCGTTGTGTCTGGTAGTTGTGGGGTCTCAGTGCACGTTGGGGAGAAAGGATTTCCCAAGTGGTCAGAAAGTGCCACAGGATGAGTCCAAGTCACGATTTAGGGAAAGCAGAGGTCAAACCTCATCAGGTCCAAGGAACCTGCGTGAGTCTGAAGCGGAGGACAAAGGTAGAAGAGCCTCAGAGGTTTGTACCTACAGTCCCAGGCTGAGCAGGTGAAGCCAG